GTTAAAGTTTTTTAAAAAGCACAAAACTCCAATAGTCAGTTACACAGAAATTTTTAAAAATAACTTTGCACTTTCACCACTCCTGTTCAATATAAATTCTTGAAAATTTAGCTAGGGCAATTAGACAAGAGAAAGAAAAGTGATACACATAGAAGAGGAAAAAGTTACATTATTAATTATTTACAAACATTACAATTCTGTACTTAGAATACCCTAAAGACTCCACCAACAGACGTTTAGAGCTGATAAGCAAATTCATGAAAGTCACAAGATATAAAACCAACCTTTAAAAATCAGTACCTTTTCTACGCACCAATAATGGACTAGCTGAGAAAGAAATCAAGAAAACAATTCCATTCACTCTAGTTTAAAATAAAGTACCTAAGGATAGTCTAACCAAGGAGGTAAAAGACCTTTACAATGAAAACTTTTGAACATTAAAGAGAGAAATTAAAGAGACTAGAAAATGATAAGACCTCCCATGTTCCATGTTAAAGATCGACAGAATTAATATTGCTAAGATGGCTACATTACTAAAGATGATGTACACATTCGATGCAATCCTCATCAAAATACCAATGACAGTCTTCACAGGGCCTGAAAAAAAAATTCTGAATTTCATATGGAAACACCAAAGATCCCTAATAGCCAAAGCAATCCTAAATTAAAAAGAGCAAGGCTGGAGGCATCACAATACCCAGTTTGAAATTATAATGGAAAGCCATAGTAACAAAGGCAACATGATACTGGCACAAAAATAGACACATAGACCATGGAACAGAATAGATGACACAGAGATGAATCCATACATCTAGAGCCATCCATCTAATTTTGGACAAAGAAGCCAAAAACATATATTGGAGAAAAGACAGCATCTTTAACAAATGCTGCTGGGCAAACAATATCCACTTGTGGAGGATTGAAACTAGATCCCTATCCCTCACCCTGTACAAAAATTAATTCAAAGTAGATTGAAGACTTAGATACAAGACCTAAAACTTCAAAACTGCTACAAGAAAACATAGAGGAAACACTTGAAGCCATAGGCACAAAGACTTCCCAAATAGGACTTTAGTAGTACAGGAAATAACAGCAAGAATCAACAAATGGGACTATACTAAATTAAAAGGTTTCTGCACCACAAAAGAAATCACTAACAGAGTGAAGAGATAGCCCACAGAATGAGAGAAAATATCTTTGCCAGCTACTCTGCCAATAGGATTACTATCAGGGATATATAAATAACTCAAAATTTTAACATAAAAAAAATGAGTAGCCCAAATGGGCAGAGGAATTGAGCAAACACTTCTCAAAAGAAGAAATACAAATGGTCAGAAAGTATACGAAAAAATGCTCAACATCTTTAGCCATTAGGGAAATAAAAATCAAAACTGCATTGAGATTCTATCTCATCCTAGTCAAAATGGCTGTCACCAAGAATACAGAAAACAAATCCTGGCAAGGATATGGAGGAAGGAACCCTTCCACACTGCTGATGGAATGTAAATTAGTACAGCCACTGTGAATAACGGTATAGAGGTTCTGCAAAAAACTGAAGCTAGAGCTGCCATTTGATTCAGCTATACCACTCCTTGGTATATGCCCAGATAAATTAAAAAGGATAAAAGTAATCATGCCGCAGAGATCCTGCCTACCCCACGTTTATTTATTGCAGCACACTTCACAGAAAGATATGGAGCCAGCCTCAGTGCCCATCAGATGAATGGATAAAGAAAATGTGGTATATGTACACAATGCAGTAATACCCAGCTGTCATGAGGAATGAAACTTTGTCATTGGCAGGAAAATGGATGGATCTGGAGATCATCAGTCATTGTGTTGATCAAAATAAGTCAGACTCAGAAAGATAACAATCATGTTCTTCCACATATGTGGAATCTAAAAGATATGAGAGCAGAAGGGAGACCATTAGATAAGAGGAAGAAAATAATGTGGAGAGAGGTTTAAGGGTGAGTAATGGGATAGATATGGTCAAAATATATGCATTGAACCCTCCTCCCCAATGTATAACTACAGGGGATGCCAGGGGACAGGAGATGAGGAAGAGTCCAAATGATCCAAGTATGTTATGTGCATGTGCAAATCTTTCAGAATGAGACTTATTAATCTGTATAACTTATATGCACTAATTAAAGTTTTGGAACAAACAAAAAACAATTTTGCACATATCTACAGTTCAGCTGGTCATTTATGGTGACCAGGCTCAATCTCCTCTGATCTTACCAGGGTTGTGCAAGCATCTGCTGTGAACTGGTGGCTGGCTGGTGCTGGTCAGTTGAGGATGCTCTCTGCTCCACAGGACTGTGTCCCCCACCTGGGGCTGCAGCCTGTGCCACGGCCGTGACAGGGTTCCAAAAGAGATAGGAGGCATACACGGTCTCCCTGAGGACCATCCCACCACAGCACAGAGCAGAGAAGAAGGTGGAAAATAAATCTGGAGGAGGCATGAAGACAAAACATTACAGTGCCAGCCTATGCTTCCAAATTCTTTATAACATTTTTGGAAATAGCTCTGAAAAATGTTTTTCACAAAAGACCTCAATTGATCTTTTTAATTAATTTTATTGGTACATTTAAAGTATACAATGCAGTGACATTCATCATTGGGAATTTGCGCCTAGTTGATCTTGTTATAGATGTGTTGGTTTGTTGACTTTAGAATGTGTTATTTAACCAGTGACTACTCTCCCAACAGGTGCTTCCATTCAGACCACATTTTTTCATACTGTTAATGAGGATTCACTGAAAATTTTTGTCACATTTGATGCTGCAACTAAGAAGTTATCTATAGTTTTCTGAACAATACTGATCAATAAACGATCAGAAAGGGCCGGGGATTTAGCTCAGCGGTTCAGTGGCCTGCCTCGCAAGTGCAAGGACCAGAGTTTGATCCCCGGTACCACACACACACACACACACACACACACACACACACAATAAATAAATAAAAAAATAAACGATCAGAATTTTATTTCAATGACAAAGAGGTAAAATATAGAGTGGGACATAATATGAGTGAAATGTAGGCATCATATTTTATATCTAATATGTAAATATTTTGAAACCTTAGAGATACAATAGAAATACTAGCTCTCGTTATCGTTGGGTAGTATGAAAATAGTGATTTACATTTTCTCCTTCAACTTTCGAATATTATCTAAAATTTCTACTGTAGACAGTATATGATATTATTATCAGAAATAAAATGTCATTTAAGTGTTCCCATTTTGCAAGTTTCCCAGGAATTAAAATAGAGCTTCCATTTCCTTCCCTTTGGAAAATTGTAATATCTGTCCATTGTCATTCTAATATTCTCTGAGATGTCTCAGTAATCAGAGGGTTATTTGAATCTTTGCTGTTAGCACAACGGCTAGGATTTTTCATGACTCTTTTCATTTTTAAGTTTCCTGGAGCTATGGGATAGCAAGAATAAATAGGATCATATAGATGTCTTTAGAACAATCCTCGTATTTATACTAGAAGTAATTAAAAAATAGATGAAGTCTTATGTAACTGGATTGGAAAGCAAGGTAAAATACATCTCAAACAGTGATACCGCTTCTATTAGGTCACTGTGGACGATCAGTTAGCTACATCTCTGGCGGCACTGGCCATCAGTTTGGTCTATGGCCTTTAATCTCTTACTAGTACTAAAAATCACATATCAAAAGCATGTAAGCCACCTAGAATCCTTAAGTGGCTAGTCTGGATGCTAGAAGAAAGTGTCTGATAACAGGCCAAGTTAGGGCAAAGGATACAGCTGTGACAATGAGCTAGGGACATGTGTCCCCTAGAGGTGGCATGGTGAAAACCACAGACTCCTTGATCTGCCTCCTGCCCAGAAATGGACTCTTTTCCCTCTCTTACATCTGAATGGACTGTGGCACGGTTGAGGCAATAAAAGATGACAGACAGGACATTCTAGTTTGAGACTGCAGCTGTGGGAAGCTGGCAGATCCCACTGCCTGTCTCTTGGCACACTCACACTCAAAAGCCTGCTGCCAGGCCACAGAGTCACAGGCAAGAGAGTTCACGCACACGTGTGCTCCATTTCAGCGATCCATGATCACCACAGTGGCCACATGAAGAAGCTACAGACCTGGGCTACACACCTCATCAGATGATCCAGTTCCGTGCAAGATCCCAAGCCAGAGTGGCACAGCTGAGCCCAGGCAGCCCACAGGATCATGAGATGCAAGAATACAGTCCTGTTCTAATCCACTAAGTGCAGAGATGTTTTAATAAGCATTCATTTAAAAAAAAAAAACAACCTGGAACATACACTGTTGATAGCAGGTACCATGTACTTGAAACAAAATTTGAAAGTAGTCACAGGAAATATGATGACATAAGATCTCTCTAGAGCTACCATTTCACCTGGAAGGAAACAACAGCTAGGAGAACTTACTGTTCCCAACATCTGTCCCATTCGCATGCACACAAAATGAACCAAGAAAAAATAAAAAGATGGTGCTTCATGTTTGGAGTTGATGAGAGGCTCATGTGTATATGGTACTTAACTGCTAACCACAGCCCAGAGCCTTGTGAAATATTATTGTCCTACTTTTCCCTTCTTTTCTCTCCCTTCCTTCCTGCTTTCTTCCCCCAATCTGAAAGTTGCTTTCTCTTCCCCACATGAGCAGAGCCTGCATATGCCCATGATTTCCTGTACTGCTGATAGTGTGGGAAGCATAGGACGAGACCGCCCAGGCAGTCAACGTGGGGAGGCAGATGAGCAGGTGCCGGGGTGAGGGCATTGCTGACGGGCCTCGTCCACAGGCCCCATTTGCTGCCCAGATCTTCTGCTCACTGCCTTTTCAGAAAGCATCAGAGTGCAGTTGGCCTTTTCCTTACAAATGATATATTGTGTGGACTTTTGAAATCCATAGTAGTGAAAGCAGGAGATATATATCCATTGCCAACTCAGGGACAGGGTTAGAGTATACAGGAAGTGTCTCATGATTCTGTTCTGTCTTCAGGTGTTCCAAAGTTGATCACGCCTGATATGGTTAAAGAAGGAGCTGCTGTGATTGACGTGGGCATCAACTATATCTGTGATCCTGTGACAGGAAAGACAACATTAGTTGGAGATGTGGACTTTGAAGGTAAGAAACAAAATCTCTTTTGCTAAGTGAAAGGAAAAAATCCTAACCCACCTGCTTTGATAGTCAAGAGAGACCCTTTCTGTTTGATGGGATGAGAATGGTAATGACCATCCCCTCTTCCAGTACAGAAGTGTTTGATTGTCCTCTTCCTCTCTCCCTCCATGCCTTCTTTTCTTCTCTTCATTCTCCCCTTCAAATTGCAATAGCTGGCTTTTGGCTTAAATTTCTTGTACTGCATTTTTTAGTGAAAGAATTTGGCTGGCCCTCTGTAGACCTGTGTGTTTTTCTGACATTTTGTGAATGTTCGCTTATACTTAACCATATACTTGGCCCAGTGCTGGGCCAAGACAACTGTCTAGGAAACTGAAGCTGATGTTCTTCCCTAGTGGTGATGAAGATGAAGAAGAGTACCTAGGCCCAAACATCTATGGCTAATGAGGCGTTCAGACAGCAATGTGTAGAAGTAGAAGGAGGAACTCTAACCCATGACAGATGTGTTTCTTAGATGCCTGGCCCCTAAACTACTTTTACATAATCTTTGCCAACTTCTTAACCTGCATTTAGGATCCTTTGCTATCTACAAAGGTACAAAGATGGCAAAGTGTTTTTTCATATTGGAAATATTTTATACGTGAGACTGATCACTCTGGCCAGAAAAGGCAAGGGGCACATCAAGAAATTATTAGTGACAGGCATATCATGTCCTCATAGACAAAATGAAAGACATTGGCAATGAGATTTTTAAAACTCAGATTTGAAATTTTCACTTGGAATCTGATCGCCATCCTAGCATGATGCTGAATAAGGTTGAAAATCACCAATAGCCAGAAGTAGTGTCCTAGGATGTTAACCTCACATACATGAGATCCTGGGGATAGCAGCGGAGTTTAATCCTGGTGACTGAAGAGGAACAAACCTGAGGATGCACTGTGCAGCAGTCCCTATAGGCACAGGTGTATGTACGGCCCAGCAGCAGCACCCTCCACACAGCACGCGTGGGCTCAGATTCACAGGGGCTCGGCACTTGCTGACACGCACAGGATGACCTGGTCTCTTTATTTACCTTTCATGTTCCCTCACTCCAGTGAGGAGTAGTAATTTATTTGAATTTCTTAAGTCCACTGAGTAAAACCACATTTCATCTGAAAACCTGACTTGTGGCACTTCTGCTCCGTTTCTCGGGAGCATTGTAGCTGCTAAGAATACAGTGCAGAATCACACAACAAGCACGCAGATGGCGCTCACAGCATTCGGTGAACCTCTTGGAGCTTTCAGTTGCACAAACAATAGGCTGTGGCATCTGTGCCATAGGCTTGCCACGACTGGCATAAGAAAACCTGCTGAGAGCAGAGCAGGGATGTGTGCCGTGCCCAGCCTTGACTGAGTCTGGGGCAAGTTTGTCCTGAGGCTTAATGTACTTTTTTTCCGGCTCTCACTGTGTAACTCAGGCTGGCCTCGAACTCACTGTGTAGCCCAGGGTGGCTTCCCACTCGTGGTGATTCTCCTGCCTCAGCCACCCAAGTGCTGGGATTGCAGGGGTGAGCCACCACACCCAGCCATGCTCACCGCATTTATCGGGCTCTTCTGTTGTAGAGCGTTTTTGTGGCCTCAGATCATTTCTGTGCTTTCTTTTTGTTTACTAAGAATGGGTTTGCTCCTGAAGGTATTTGGAAAACATTTAAAAAATGAGTACCTAAGAATGGGCATGTGTGCTTCATGGCACACACACACTCACACACACACACACGCTCTTCCAGTTGTGCACTGCTCAATTCGGTGAAATCTATCAAACCAAACTGTGGTTCTGTGTATTTGAATGTATAATGAATGTTTTACGAAAAGGAAATGGCAAGAGAAAAAAAGTTATGAGATGAACAGGAAAGAGCATCGGGCTGGGAACCTGAGAAGGTCACCATAGACAAGTTACAAATGCCAAGCTCTGCTTCCCCTCTGTCCATCCGGGTTTCTGTTTCATGACAGCAGTGACACTAGTGTACCCTTGTCCTGGGCTCACTTCCCTGGTGCACTCAACCAGGAGATCATCACTGAATTGCCTTACATCGTCTCCATCATTGCAGGGAAAGGGATGAGCACAGTGCGGTAAGGTATCCTAAGAAGCAAGGACCACGTTCCCATAACTATTACTGTGTTCTATGGCTATAATTGTTCTGTTTTCTTATTAGTTATTATATTAGCCTCTTACTTACTGTGCCTAGTTTATACATTAAACTTGATCTTGGGTAGGCAGATACAGGAAAGAGCTTACTGTACAGAGAGCCAGGACTGTCTTCAGTTTCAGGTGTCCACTGGGGTCTCAGATGCCACCCTGCAGATGAGGGGGACCACGATACAGGGCTTTGATTGGTGAGTCCTGGACATTGAGTAGAGTGCTACCAGTCAATCTCGTGAAAACACAGAAGCTCCTGGAAGGAGGATCACAGCTTTCTGTTTTCATCATGCAATACATCTCCGTGATTATTGGTACTTTTCCTGCTACCAGGACTGTTTGTGGAGCCAGTGCATTGAGGAGGGTCGGCGGGTAGAGGAGACTTTGCCAGCAAGGCCAGGCATGACTCAGCCACCGAGGAGCAGCAGTGCAGGTTCCGACAGGCTGCTGTAGGTCGTTGTCAGGACTTCACCTGGGGTGAGGGACAGTCGCCTACCAGAGAGGGAGGGACTTCAACCTGGGCTCTGCTGCAGATTCACAGGGAGCCACGGGGCAAGTGTGGCTGCTCTGTGAGTATCGGTGAAAGTTTCACTGTAACTGTTGCCAAGATCAACAGAACAGGTATGGGTGAGAGAAAGACGTGGAAGAAAATTGTGGTGGCACAGTCACTGGCTTCTCAGTAGAGGAAACTGGGCAGCTCAGGTCCAGGAGAGCCCATTGATGGGAAAAATCCATCACCCAAAGTGCTGGTGTGAACCTTCACTCAGGGCCTGAGAGACGCCAGAGACGCCCGAGACGCTGAGTGTGCAGGGGGCAGGACGCCGGAGCCAGCATGGTCAGAAGGGGACCTAAGAGGTGTCACGGTGGAGCGAAGATGGGGAGAGGAAGTCGAGCGTCCCGTAGTGACTGCTCTTAATGAAATAATTCAGTGCCGCTGTTTCTGCCCTCTATGATGCACTAAGTGAAGGTTAGTTTTCTTACTGCTTTCAACTCCCCATTTATTTATTTATTTATTATTATTATTTGTTTTGCTTTGTTTTTTTTGAGACAGGGTCTCAAAAAACAGGGTGCCCTGGAACTCACTATGTAGCCCAGGCTGGTCTTGAACTCACAGCGATCCTCCTGCCTCAGCTCCCGAGTGCTAGGATTACAGGCATGCACCACCACCCCCGGCAACTCCCTCTTTATTTATAAGCCGTACTGGGAGGGCTTTTAATGTTTTCACACATTTATTAAAGGTCATTGAGCAAGTATAATTTCTCCCATTGATTACTAAAGTTGCTTTGCTCTCTTGCACAGTCACTTTTATAATCTCACATTCCTGCAAAACTGAGCACTGCTATCGTTATGTCCAATAAAATACAATGAAATTAGTGGTCGTGTAGCTCAAATTCACATTCAATGCCATAATCACTGTGTGACTTGGGTCTTTAGTTTGTTTTATTACAGTAATTTCTTGCCTTTTTTTTTCTTTTTGAGATAGGATCTCACTGTATAATTCAGGCTGGCCTTGAACTCTCAGCAATCTTCCTGCCTCAGCCTCCCAAGTGCAGGGATTAAAAGTGTGTGTTCCCACACCTTGCTTCTTGCTATTATTATTGCAGTTCTACCCATGCAGGTATTTCAGTGTTGGAGGTATTGTTTGCTTAGCACTAGTCCACAGAATCACACACGGGTGCCTTTTCTCTGTGTGGCTCTGAGCTGGACCTTTCCTCAATTCCATGTTCCTCTCTGGGCTTATAGAGGAATAGACAGAGCCTTGACGTAAGCACTCCATTTATTGAAGCGCTAGTTTGGTTAGGTATTGATCCTCAGAGAACATAAGATTGTTTTGGCCTTTGACAGATACTTACCATTCCCTTCAATTCCCTGAGCAAACCTCCCCCTCCAATTTAAACCGTTAAAAGAAGAAACAATTTAAAAGCATCTTTTACAAAATTATTTTTATGCCTAAGAGTTGTTTTCATTTCCAGTAATTATGCAGTGAATGACATATTTGAACATTTTAGATTTGCTCTGTAGATCAAGAAGTTTTAATAGTGGGGCACACTTGCTTTTGCCTACGATTTCTCCTAACCATTTTGTGGTGTGGTCTTGGAAGAGGCTTCATATGCTTCTGATAAGAGCCTGTGTTCTCAAGAGCTACATGTGGAGATTACGTGGTGTGGGAAGCTGGGAGCTTCTTCTGCCTGACAAGCTGGAAAGCAGTCCGCAGGGCTGGACTCAGAAGCTCCTAATTGCACTGCTTTACGGCTGCATTTCGCCAAATGGATGTGGTCAGCTGTGCAGTCAAATTAATGATTTCCTCTGCTGCTACCGCAGTCAACACTGCTCACATTGGCGAACCCGGGCCTAGCTCACAGCGCACACCTCACACACAGATGTTTCTGTAATCCTTTGAAGCTTTAATAGCTTTGTCTCAGTTTTACAATGCATTTCATGGGGAGGGAGGGGGAGCGCAGAGAACTGGAATATCTGCTTCCTGCTGCACCTCCCTCCTCCTGATCTTCTGTTCCCCTGGTCCCCTGCAGCCTCTCTGCTGCTCTGCACCAAAATAAAGACCGCAGCTAGGCCTGGGAAAGGGAGCAGGGAGGTAAGGAGGAGAAGGACAGGCGGCACTGCTCCAGGCCAGTGGGGGCTCATGTCTAACAGCAGATGTCCTCCCTCCACCGTGGAGAGGATCACAAACAGATGAAGAGGACTCAGTGCATTCCACTGCTGGAGAAACTGATAGGGAAGCCACATTTTATGGAAAGAATGTCTGCCTTTCCAACACAACTGATACTATTATGAAGGGTTTTTTTCCTATAGTTGCTTCCAGAGGTTGTATGTG